TATCAATTAGCATCAGACAAGTCTTGATTTAAACTAGATTCTCAATCAAGCTGAGAGGGATTTATCCTCATTTTAAACAGCTCCCTGTTTTGCTTTTAATTCCAAAATGCCTCTGTCCAGAACAAGGACTGTAGCAAGAGTGGAGCTGAAAAGTGTTTTAGAAAAAGTATTATTTAAAATATTTCTCAACTGCCCATCACCCAGATCAATCCTATGGCAGTATACAAAAACTGGGGAAAAAATTAATCACATCAAACACCGGTTACAATGAGAAAAAAGGCCATAGAGCAGGCAGAAGAAACATTATTGTTTAAATGCCCTTGACAACTTAAAAGTTTTAACCTGACACCTTAATTTACAAACACTTCCTTAGTCTCCTGGGATGCACAGTGTAGACTTAATCTCTCAATTCAACAGTGGGCAATAAAGCTGTTTATTTGTGATCTGACTGTCTTCTTTCCCCATTGGATTCAGGGCTGCCTGCTTATTAAGGGAGATGGGACATGACTGGTGTACAGGATGAAGGTTATGGATATATACAAACTCTAGAAAAAGAGGGCTGGCAAAGAGTGAGTAAATGCAATACAAAAATTCCCAAGCATGTTCAAGTAAGCTACAATTCTCCTACTTTTTCGTTTTATATCAAGGTATCTCTTAATTTAAATGCCATGATGTGTCTATACCTACAAAGATCAGGATTGTTCAAGTCATGGTATTTCCTGTGAGACTCTATGGAAGTGAAAGTTGGATTTTAATGAAGCAGGATAGTTAGCATATTGATGCCTTTGAACTTTGGTGTTGGAGAAGACTCCTGAGAATACCGTGGACAGCCAAAACAACAAACTGACGGATCAAAGAAGAAATCAACCCAGAGTTCTCACTCGAGGTACAAATGACCAGGCTCAAATTATCCTACCTTGGACACATTATGCTATTTGGACCCAGCTCTCTGGAAAAGGCTCTAATGCTGGGAATGGTGGAAGGAAAGAGAAGAGGATGACCAGCAGCAAGATGGATGGACTCAGTTACAGTGGCAATGAGTGCACCATTGGGAGACTTGAAAGAACAGGTCATGGAGAAAATCTATGTGGTTACTAAAGTCAGAAATGACTTGATGGCACATAAATCATCTCTTTAATATTTATTTAGCAAGACGGAGACTTCCCCCCATAATTTCCCTTTAGCACTAGGAGGTGGCACAATCAAGATTGCATGAATGAGAAAAAAGGTGAGCTGTTCAAGTGCAGCTTCCAGATTTTTTTTTTCGCAAGAAAAAAGCCAATAGGGATGAAGATTCATGAATATGGGAAATCTTATATCCATTTTACTTGGCCTGACGTATCTAATTTGTATCTTTCTGACATCATAATAGGTCAAATACAATCAGTGGCTTAGCACTTGTTAAAACTGTTAAAGAAGTTCTCAATGTGGTAGTTTTCTTCATACAGAATTTGGAATACTACATGCAGTTTCTATTAAAAGTTTCACATTTTCCCAGGTGAAAGTTTGCTTAATTTATTTTTCAGATATGACTTTCTACAGTATTGATGTTCCAATTCCATAGCTAATCTACCCACACTGTTTTTCTCTTCTTTGTTTCTATAACAATGAAGAAACAGAAACACAGCCTTCTTATTTAAGCACTCTACCAGAAACTGTCCAGGCCCATAATAACAGTGTAATGTTTTAGATAACTTCTAACAATCTGAGACAAAATTATGTGGAGCTTTTCCTAATTGTTTTGTACATTTCTTGAGAGTGGTCATTTTGATTCCGGCTTACAATAGGTATTTACAATACAGAATTCAGACCCCAAGTTTAAATTGAAGCTTGAAGGGGCTCAGCATAGCACTTGGCAAGTGACTTTTCTTTAATATTGACTCAGGAATTGGAGCTTGGATGGCAAAGGAGGTGGCAAAGGAGGAACAAGTTACAACACCAGAAATAAAAAAGATTCCCATCTCTGCTTTAATTCTGGCATCTCACACTGAGATTTTGCTTTTCCTGTAAAAATAAAGGACACAGAAAAAGAAAAAGAAAAGCAATAGTCCTGAAGTTCAATCCTGAAACCAACTTTGCTACTTGAAACACTATAAGAAAACATCCAAATACCTTATCCCAAAGTCTAGAGAAACTGCGTATATGTACACCCAGAGAAAGAATGACAGAAAATAAACATGTGAATCCAGATCAATAAAACTTGGGGATCACTTTATACAGATGTCTAAATACTTAGCCACAGAATTTTAAAAGCACCCAATAATAGATTGCCACTGACTATGTTCCT